GGGCTGAGGGGGAGCCCCGGTTGTGCGGCCAGCGCCGAGCAGCACCGGGGCGGGGGCAGCAGCGTGAGGGGGCTGTGAAGAAACCTCTCCTATTTCTGTAGGGCCTTTCCTGCGTCCTCTGCGAAACGGGTGGGGGGTGGCTGCACATCCCCGCAGAGAATAAAGGCGATTTTTTTCTCTCCTCCTTTAGGTTCCGGCCCTTTGTGCCGCACATCCCCTTTGATTTCTATGTCGTGAGTAACCAGCCCTCTCCTACAGAGCTGTCTGCAGGCAGCAGCTGGGGGAGTTTTCCTTAAAACCCGGCTGTGCTGACGCCAGGCCATGGTTTGACTTCTTTTAGCTTAGCTGGAGCAGAGGAGCTCACTGCAGATGCTGTTGGTTCAGTAACCACCCTGGCCCTTGTACCTCAGGGATGGCTGGGATGCAGTTGAGTAACGACCCCAGCAATTAAATGCCTTGGTTTTGGGGTTTTCTGCCTTTTTAAGGCTCACTCTGACCCTCAAATCTGTAACATGGATGTGGGTTTACCCCAAGTGCTGTCACTCACCTGCAGTGTAGCTCATTAAAGACCTTGAGCGAGCTCCTCCTCCCGTAATACAACGTGAAAGTGCAGTTGCAGCAAGGGAAGAGCACGATGGGGAATCGCAAAGGAAACAGCTGGAGAATTCAAACCAAACCAGAACCCCATGGAGGGGTTTTTGCTGATGAATGCGTTGAACCCAGGTCTCTCTCGTGGGCGTTGTGGTCTGACCTCTGATCCCGTTGCAGTGCGAAATGGCTTTTCCCCGCGTCAAGCCCGCTGCTGACGAGACGGCGTTCAGCGAGGCCTTGCTGAAGAGGAACCAGGATCTGGCTCCGACCGCTGCTGAGCAGGTTTTGTGCCAAAAATTGCCTCGCGTTTTATCTCGCAGCGGGGCTGCGACGCCGCGCGGGATCGGCTCAGCTCGAGCCCTGCTGGTAACGCCGCCCGTGCCCCAACTCCTTTTCAGGCCTCCATTCTTTCCCTGGTGACCAAAATCAACAACGTCATCGACAACTTAATCGTGGCGCCAGGAACGTTTGAAGTGGTGAGCGGCAAGAGCTGCGTGGGGAGCTGCTTTGGCGCGGGGGACGCTGGCGGTGTCGCTGCCAAAGCGGATTAAAGATTCGCAGCGACTCCCGGAAACGCAGCTTGTGCGTTAAACTCCCTCACTCTTTGCTCTGCCCAACAGCAAATCGAGGAGGTTCGCCAGGTGGGCTCCTACAAGAAGGGCACGATGACCACGGGGCACAACGTGGCCGACCTGGTTGTGATCCTGAAGATCTTACCCACGCGTGAGTGCCGGCAGCGCGGCCGCGGAGCGAAGGCGGCGCTGGGCCCCGCTCTCACCTCCTCCTCCTCTTCTCTTCTCCCCAGTGGAAGCTGTGGCCGCCTTGGGGAACAAAGTGGTGGAAAGCCTGAGGGCGCAGGACCCCGGCGAAGGTGGGACACGCACCCGTGGGGGGACGCGGGGTGCTGGGGGCGCCGTTTCCCTTCGGTTTTGGGCAGCAGCCGGGGGTTTACGCGGAGGGGACAGCACAACCCGTGGTTTTTCCTGCGTTCCCGGGTGCTCTTAAGGTTTTCTGGCTGCTCAGTGAGGAATTGCTGCTGTTTCCCCCCAGTCCTGACCATGCTGACCAACGAGACCGGCTTCCAGAACAGCTCCGCCGCACCGACAGTGAAGATCCTCATCACCCCGGTGCCGCCCAACCTCCGCCAACTGCAC